AACTGCGGCAGCTGGCAGATATGTTCTACTATAATAAAAAAAACGAAACGTATATTAAATTTATATATTCGCGATTGTATGACATAAAATGTTCATAAGTTTCCTTATATGAATCTATTTGTTATGGCACTCGCTGCTGATTGCTTCCAGTAAGAGTTTTTTAGTATCACTGAAGAATATATGCTAAGAGAAAACAGGCATCTTTTTGTATTGTCTTTTTCTTTGCCCATTTTCTTAATATTTGAAACGCGTAGACACCAGGAGGTAACGAACGTAACGGTCGTGCAGATGTTTAAATGTGAAACATATTCAAATTTATTGCTATCTCTCTCACTTACGATTTTATCGTCGTTCTAAACTCTAGTTGTTGTTATTATTATTATTATTATTATTATTATTGTTGAACTTACAAAGACGACGGCACTGCCGTGAGTTTGAGCGTTTCAGTGTCATATTAAAGTCTTCTCCTAGTGTTACTCATAATTTGCTTAAATATCAGTTGCCAACAATAACCAAAATGTTTGCTTATTTACGCAACTGCTCCTCAAATCCGTTACACTATTTTTCCATTTTACTGTTAACGCTAAAGTCATTTGTTGTTGTGCCGCGTTTGTGTTTCAAAAACCATCTTGTCAGCTAAGCATTATCCCCGCGTTTAAGTTATGGAAACTATAGTAAAATAAGTTTTGGAGTTATTTAAAAGAAGAAGAAGAAGAAGAAGAAGAGAGAGAAAAAAATAAAAATAGAAATAATAAAAAAAAAACACAAAAATTAAAAAGAGAAGTAAAGGCTTAAGCGAGGCGTGACACAGACATTTAAAATATCGTTACTTTCGCAGATGAATTCATTTACATATATTTAAAAATTCATCCGTGTGTTTAGTAGGAAAACCATCAAATATAAAAGTTTATGATTTTTTTTTTTTTTTTTTGGTAAGCATTACGCGCGAAGTTTTAAGTAAATTTTATATAAAGGTAAACATGTGTGTACAATGTATTAAATAAAGAAAAGTTAAACTTTTCTCTAAGCTTTTTAACAAATTTCGAATTTCCGATTCAGTTTTCCTTAACCACTTGCATCATATTATATATACATATAAAAAAAAAAAAAAAATAAAACAAAAAACACTGCTAGAACATAAGGCTTTGTATCGTAACTTCCTTTGCTTCCATAACCCATAACAACGTTGTCTAGTCACACACAAACTTTCCGTTTGAAAACATAATAACGAACAAGTCAGAAAGTTGTATTCAGCCGCGGGACGAATCTCGTATACCTACCACTTATTTTAGCAGCGTGATGATAAGATTTAGCTAAGCATTCGCATTGCAAATTACCGTAACTGGATCAGTATTCAGGAGGGTAAGAAGTTTTAGCTGAAGCTGAATCACTAATCCATAATTCTCTTATCTTATATTAATTATGACGTCCATCATATATGGGCGTGGTTGTTTATGTAAATTTTTTTTTTTTTTTTTTTTGATACAAAACTCTACGCAAGGTAATATGCGATGCGATGCTCTTTCCATTGCGATTAAAGAGTAATGAGTAAAAAACATGAACAACTAAACAAACTAAATTTTGGTATTTTAAAATAATGAGTGGGCGTGGTCATTTTTTCCTAATTAAGGACAACAACATATCCTCATCCTCATGCGTTCATCTTACAAGTAATGAGTAGAAGAAGTTCTTGTCTGATATATAAATTCGGCATAATGGAGTTCACGTACTACCTTACAGTAGACCATACTTGGTGTGATCGTAGCTTTACTAAGTGGCCGTTCGGTGAAGGCGTAACTGCCGACTTGATATACATCTCCCAAGCAGCAGCATATAATGTATACATCCCTATCTACCTACCTCTCTCTACTTACTTCTGATCCCTACTGTGTTACATGCACACCTTATTGGCTGAGCAATTAATCTTCTATGTATATAAACATGAATACCATTACTTTTCCTACTTAGCACGAAAGTGTTAAATGCTGCTGAATCGTGGCGGATAACGGAAGATGGCCTTGAAATACGTCAATATACGAAATGAGAAAAACTATAATTCAGGTTGCATAAGTGGCAAGCCAAGGGAAAATATTCATGATGCCCTAATTTGGGGATTATGAATTACTCCAATTAAACGAAACCATGGCGAGGACGTCAACAGCAATAACTGATGCAAAAAAAAAACAAAAAAAAAAAACAGGCGCAACTTGCTTAACGTCAAGATGTGCTAATTTTTCATTATGGCTTTCTATGATTGCCACAAATTTCAATCGACTGGCTGCCTGGGCAGGGCGTCGACAATGTTTTATTCCTCTGTACAAAACTATATTTGGTCGAACGACTCTTCGAGTTGGTATAGTTATTAAATTCTTTGTTAATTTTTATTGGGCAGGTAAACCGTCCAAT